AGAAGAAATCTACCACTTCATACTTTTTCACTTTATGTGATAATTGTATCACTTGGAAATCACAGTTGCAATCTACAGTTACACTCTCCAGCATAGAAGTAGAATATGTTGCATTTTCTTGAAATTGTAAAAGAATGCATGTGGCTTAAAGGCATTCTATGTGAATTAAACTTCATGAATGGTAATGCTATGATTTTTACTGATATCCAAAGTTCATTGATATTGTATAAAAATCATATTTATCATGAACGATCTAAGCATATTGAGGTGAGGTATCACTTAATTAGGGAGAAGTTAGCTTCTGGTGATTTTATTTTGCTTAAATTTGCAACTGATGATAACCCTGCACATGTTGGAACAAAAGTACTTGAGGTTGGTAAGTTCAACAAATGTTTATCAATATTGAGTATTGATAATGATTAATAAGGTACAAGTAGGAGTGAGTGATGATGTTAATAAGACCACACTCAAAGTGCTCTCAAGACAATACTAANTATAGATAATGGTTAATTGTTATGAAGGTACTGAGCTAGAGTGAACGATGATGATAAAATAAGACCACACTAATGGATAGCACTTGTAATTGAGGAATTTGGCAGTGAATTATATGTGATCCAAGGTGAAGATTTGTGAGGTAGATCACTTAATTCCACTTGGCAAATGAGTATTTGTCTTGAGCACTTTGAAAGAATTGTGCTAGTCGATGTGTATTATGGAACATAAGATTAAATCCAATAATTGGATTTAATCTTGTGGTCAATTACCATAACAGCCATGTCTCTTTCATAGTTCAATATTTAAATTTGAATTTGAATTCAAATGGTTCTTTTGGCCCTATAATTACAAGTCTCCTTCACTTGTTTCACTTCGACTTGGCATAACAAAAGAGAGAGCATAGAGAGGCAACCAAGTGGAAGAAGTTTATATCTCCGACGAAATTCTTGGTGGCTTCCGGCGGATTTATTTCTCGATATATCCATTGTCATTATGATGGACGACGGTGCATGATCCGGTGTAGCAAAAATCTAAACTCACCGTCATATGATACTCCATTGATGGTGTTGGGTTTATTGGTTCGGTTTTTACACTTTAAGAGTTTATGTTTCCGCATTGTAGTTGTAATAATATTTGTTCACTACATTTGAAACTCTACACTTAGCATTCAAAGCACTTCTGAA